GTGTTTCTTATATAATTTTGAAGAAAATATCATAGATGGATTAATGAAAATGTCTTATATTAACGTAAAGTAAGACATTTAATGTGCCCAAGAGTGATTATTATTACGTAGTATTACTACGGCATCATGAGCAGAGAGACTCTTAGTGATTTTAATGTGTACCTGCATGCCAGCACAGTGTGTAAGTATATTTAGGTATAGGTACACATAAGTATAATTATCAGAGTACACATAAAATATGCAATAACTTTAAAACAACTGAAATTTTGGAAAGTTTCCAGACATAATAGATGTGCTCACGGAGAATGTAAACAAACCGGGTGGGGCACGCCGTACTTGAAAGACTGCTCACCATATAGGAAATTTTGGTCATAATTTGAAATTGCCATATTAGCAGAATGCCGTAAAGCGGGGCCCTACTGTACATCGCTAAGTGAAGAGAGGCTGTATAATAGTAGTGGGTTTGCATTAATCATCTTTGATATTGTTTTAATGTCACCTTTGCACCATTTATAGTACTTTTTGTATATTTTTAAATGGTTATACAGTAGTGTACTGTATATTGTAATAAACAGAATAGAGGAAATCAACTCTAATATACATTATTTACATATTCATACTGATCAGAGAGCCCGTCCTAAGTCCAAGTCATTGGTAAATGAGTATATCACTAAGAGAGGCTGTATTTCACTAAGTAATCTATAGCCATTGTTCCCATTTTTATTTGTACCCCTCATATGCTATTCCCCCCCCCCTTTTTATTAAGAAGCACTGCAATAGACCTGTGTGCCCATGCTGGGAAACCCTAAGGTACTGAGGTCAGCAGGCTAGGTGTTACGTACTTTGGATAAGTGGTATATATGACTGTCCCCACTGGTGGTATTGAATTCATGTACTAACTCTTAGCACTGGGGTGATACAGGAAACGTGCTCACTTGCTGGGATACAGCAGTCAGAGTGGGTAATGGTCTCACAACAATAATAAAAATACAAAGATGAAGACAATAAAGAAAAAAATGCAGGTGAAACACTTTGGCAATAAAGATTCCCAAGTGTTGCACATGTCTTTTTTCATCATCTTGTTGACCAGGTATTGCATAACATAAATGCAATAGTACATTACTTGTCTAACACAGCAACACTACAGAATCTTTATACAAGTGTCTTTTACTAAATGCTAATTTGTCCCCCATAAAATTCAGGGGCACAATGAGTACATTAAGGGAAAACTCAGTAAGTGTGAAGGGACCAAAACTTTTCAACATCCTCCCTTCATACATGTGAGGAATTACCAACAGATACCTGGTTGTCTTCAAGAAGGAACTGGATAAATTTCTTAAGTCAAGTGCCTTATCAGCTGGGCTCTGGTGCTTATGATGAACTTCAGGCAGCTAGCACCAACAGCTTGGTTGATCAGGTCATCCACTGGGAGGCCTGGTTTGGGACCAGGTCATAAGGGTACTGACCCTCAGAACACACTACAGGTAGGCACTGTATGACCCTTACAAGTATAGTGTTTCCCCATGAATATTATATTGCAATTTTACTCCTAATGTTGAAATCTGATGCATTGTAATTAACTTCTGTAACATATTTCTTAGTGAATTAAAGATTTCTTTAATTATTGTAAGATTTTATTTCCAAACTTTTATATGACTTCAGGGAGACTGTAGTACAAAAAAAAAAATAAATCTTTGAGATGTTTACATGTAACTTTTCAATAATTGCTGAAAAAATATTATTAATTTGCCCATAAAATATGAGCTTCAATTACACATTGAATACATTCCATAATGATATACTCTTGTCTGACGAACCAGCTGCAAGCAGAAATCCTAATCCAAAGTGCTCAACGTCACATGGAGAATAAGCCAGGCATTCAATTGTTTTTTTGTGGTAGTGTAAAACAGCTAACGGCTTAAATTTTTTGCTAGAAAACACACGGATACGAGAGTCCCAGCCTCCTGTTACAAGAAGCTTTCCATCTGGTCTTATAATACATGACGACAGACCAGCATTAGTAATACACAATTCTTTCACAACACTCATTATCAATTCACTGCTAATACAAAATATAAACACTTTTTCTGATGCAGTTCCAATTATTCCTATCTGAATATTATCATCAAATGTTAAACATAAAGGATTTTCAGAAACATGAACCTCAGTAATGATACTGCTGTTCTCCCAGTTCCATAAAGAAATATGCCCACTTTCATATGCAACAAGAAGAGAGTTATTTCTTGCAGCTTTCACCCACCTTACTTGCATGAGACTTCCACACTTTGGGGGATCAGGAGGCAACAAAGAGCATACTTTAGCTTTTGTGTCTACATCCCAAACAGTGACACCTTCCTGATTAGGTCCAGGTATGGCAAGTAAACTTCTGTAATTATCCAAAGTAGTGAAATGAGACTGACTAAAGCCAAGATATTCACTAATTGGATATTGAACTTTAACTTGAGGAACTGAGGCACTGATGTCCCAAACTTTGATACTGCAATGTCTTTCATGTGCCCACAGCTCTTCCAGTGAATGACTATATAACCATTGTACAGATGAGCTGGAATTACTTGACCATTCCTTAACTACACATTTGGTCTGTGGAAAGAAAACACTAGGTTAAAATCAACAATAGAAATTAAGAGGATACAATTCTAGTAAAATACCCTACTGTGACAACAGAACATTGAGCATAAAAACCAATAAACTATATAAAAAAAAAATCCTCGACATTAGATATACAATATACATACAGTACTCGATTATATATTCAAATAATATAATATCTGTATTTCTAACTAGGTAGTAGGTTGGTAGACAGCAACCGCCCAGGGAGGTACTACCGTCCTGCCAAGTGAGTGTAAAACGGAAACCTGTAATTGTTTTACATGATGGTAGGATTGCTGGTGTCTTTTTTTTCTGTCTCATATATATGCAAGATTTCAGGTACATCTTGCTACTTCTACTTACACTTAGGTCACACTACACATACATGTACAAGCATATATATACACACCCCTCTGGGGTTTTCTTCTATTTTCTTTCTAGTTCTTGTTCTTGTTTATTTCCTCTTATCTCCATGGGTAAGTGGAACAGAATTCTTCCTCTGTAAGCTATGCGTGCTGTAAGAGGCGACTAAAATGCCAGGAGCAAGGGGCTAGTAACCCCTTCTCCTGTATATATTACTAAATTTAAAATGAGAAACTTTTGTTTTTCCTTTTGGGCCATCCCACCTCAGTGGGATACAGCTGGTGCATTGAAAGAAAGATCTGTATTTCTACAAGTACATGTACAAGGTATACAGGCCTAGTTGACTTCAATGACATACAGTGGACCCCCGAGTTTTCTGATTAATTCGCTCCAGAGAGTCTGCCGAAAGTCGAAATTCACGAAACTCGAAACCATTTTCTCCATAAGAAATAATGTAAATCCAATTATTCTGTTCCAGACACCCAAAAGTATTAACAAAATTTATTTTTTTTATATATTAAATGTATATTTACATACAAAAAAAGAATGAGAAATCAAGTATAAAACAATAATATCACACTTATTTTACTGAAGACTCTTGTTGGTGTGTGGAACATAAGAAAGCAGGAACACTGCTGCAGACCTATTGGCCCATACAAGGCAGGTCCTTCACAAACCATCCCACTAACAGAATATTTGTCCAACCCAATTTTCAATGCTGCCAAAGCAATAAGCTTTGATAATTCTGTTCACTCATGCTCAAGTCCCGCTCAAATCAAATCGTGTGTATGGGGAAGTACCCTGGCTGTGTGGGGGAAGTATCCTGGCTGGTGTGTTCTTTCTTTAATTCTATTGTTTCTCACCGTCTTTACCAAAGGGCTGGCACTAGAGGCTTTCTTTGGGCCCATGGTGGCTTATTTAGCAGTTGCAAGCACAAAAAAGAATGGGTTATTACGAAATGTATCGTATGAATGCATGGGGTAATGGTCACTCATCCACAGACAATGCCACACTGACTCCTGAATGTTGTGTGGGAGCCTTTGTGTACACCTGGCTGCTCCTTGCCGCAAGTGCACATTTCGTACGATGGACGAATCATGAGCCAAATCACAAACCGCAAGGCTTTGACGAAAAAAGTTGCCGAAAGTCGAAATTCACAAAGTGCAAGGCTCACGAAACTCAGGGTTCCACTGTACTATATAGAAAGCCACTTGTTATGCTGAGCATTTCAGGCAAATTAGGTCAGTTGTGTCCCAGGATGCGACCCACATCAGTCGACTAGCTCCCAGGTACCCATTTTACTGATGGGGAACATACACAACTGGTGTAAAGAAACACACCCAATGTTTCTACCCTCGCCAGGAATCGAACCAGGACCCCTCACTGTGTGGAGAGCTTTAAGCTGATACTTATCAACAATATATTTTTAAATTATTACTTTTGGAATTTCTTTTATTTACCAATTTAGACAAACTAACATTTATGAAGCATCAGATTCAATTAAATAATGTATCTGCATTATTAGGACATCATAAGCACTGTAAGGATATACTACAGTGGACCCCCGCTTTACGATCAGCTCCCAATGCGACCAATTATGTAAGTGTATTTATGTTAGTGCGTTTGTACGTGTATGTTTGGGGGTCTGAAATGGACTAATTTACTTCACAATATTCCTTATGGGAATAAATTCATTCAGTACTGGCACCTAAACATACTTCTAGAATGAAATAATATCGTAAAACGGGGATCCACTGTATTACAAAAATATATTTAATCTTTTTCTCCATGGGGAAGTGGAACAGAATTCTTCCTCCATAAGCCATGCATGACTTAAGAGGCAACTAAAATGCCAGGAGCAAGGGTCTAGTAACTTCTCCTGTATATATTACTAAATTTAAAAAGAGAAACATTTATTTTTTTTTCTTTGGGGCCACCCTGCCTTGGTGGGATATGGCCAGTTCATTAAAAAAAAAAATAATCTTTTATTATTTTTGGAACAACCTTTAGATCCCAGATCAGCATGTCACCATCTTGAGTTCCTGCAGCAAGCTTTTCAACTTTTCCTCCCTCTGATGGTTGGAGGAAAGCAACTGACATCACAGGTGATTTGGCACCTCTCAAAACAAACACAGGATCAGGGGCTGGCTTGCTCATGATAGCACTGTAAATAAAAAAAAAAATGTAGCTGCATAAACAGTATAAAATAATGAGCTTGAGAAGTACTACCTTTACATACATGCACAGTCAAATGTTGCTGGTACATCATTAGTTTAATTTAAATACAGAACATTAATAACACATTTAGTGCAAATTGAATGGCCAGTAATTTATTTTAAATGTCTGCAGATAAGCATAGGTCTATGAAAAAATACATTACCTTATTTCAGGGGTAAGGTTAAGCATTTATTGGGAAAGCTCTGAGAGGCTGTGTATAAGAAAAGTGTGCTGGAGCATTCTGATTTCTGGGCCACATTATTATAATGGGGAAGCACTAAACTCATAGTGGTTATACAGGGCCTGAGAAAGAGGAAATAATCAGCCTCAGTCCAAGGAAGGACGGGGTAAGGGCATGTGATAGTTCTGATTCCTTGGACCAATAGCCCTTCACCAGCATCATGGCACCCCTCATGAAGGGTTTAAGACCAGAACTACAATACCATACAGTAATCTCACAAAATTTATGGTATAAAACTAATAAATTACATATGTTATAGCAATTTTTTTTTTCATTCTCTTGATAAATTATTACTATAACTTTTATACTTATTGGAAATAATAATTTAACCCTCATCTGGCTTAGGCCAAAAGAAAAATTAATTTACGATAACATGTCAAAAAAATAAATTGTTGGGTAAGTAGGCTTTTTTATTGTTATTCATCCAATCAATGATGATGACAGTACAGTACTACTACTCTGTCCAAAATACTAGAGGTGAACTTTCTAAGTGATGATTTATGAACTTTGTACTATATTTTTTACAATTTAGTCATTTACAATAGAATACATACTCCTGTCTACATTTCAATGCTATATCAAAATGTGCATTTTACTATATGGAATTTTTTGTCTACATAAACATACCATACAAAGCATGCATACTCTACACAAGATATGTGTACTTTAAAAAAAAAAAGGCTCAATATTTAATTTCTTTATAAGAACACAGACCTCTATATCGACACTTGCAACATCTGAACATGCCTGGCGATATCACTTTAAACATTAAAATTAAATGATAATGAGATTTTGATTGATACCAGGCATCATAAAATATACCATCTTTATCACTCATTTTACCACATTCTTACTACTAATTGTGTTGTTCCATGCACCAACATATACAGACAGGAGGGCCCGACTTTACAGCACTTTACAGTGTTTTGCTGATGCATCAGTTTTCAATTATACCCATTCTTCATTTATTCAGACTTCCTACAATAAATATATTCATCACTCACTATAAGCTAAGGATGAAAATATTTGAAAGTAATGTGTGTATTGTACATGGATATTTTAGGCCTAACTATATTGCTCACTTAATATATGATATAGTATAAACATGTTATCAGGCTTTCATATGCATTTAAAAGTAAAAAAAATGCTATGATTCACTTTACAGCAGTAGCCTGGAACCAAATCTACTGTACAAGCAGGGCCCTCTTGTACTGGTATTTATTAACATACAGTTAATTTATTAACATACATACAGTTTATTTACACACTCATCTGAGTTTTCTTTGATTTTATCTTAATAGTTCTTGGTCTTATTACTTTTCCTTTTATATCCATGGGAAAGTGGAATAAGAATCTTTCCTCCGTAAGCCATGCGTGTTGTAAAAGTCAACTAAAATGCCGGGAACAATGGGCTAGTAACCCCTTTTCCTGTAAAGATTACTAAAAAGAATAATAAGAAGAAAATTGTCAAAGTGGGAAGTCTGAATGTGCGTGGATGTTGTGCAAATGATAAGAAAGAGATGATTGTGGATGTTATGAATGAGAAGAAGCTGGATGTCCTGGCTTTAAGTGAAACGAAGCTGAAGGGGGTGGGAGAGTTTCAATGGAGAGGAATAAATGGGATTAAGTCAGGGGTTTCAAATAGAGTTAGAGCTAAAGAAGGAGTAGCAATAATGTTGAAGGATAAGCTATGGCAGGAAAAGAGGGACTATAAATGTATTAATTCAAGGATTATGTGGAGTAAAATAAAGATTGGATGTGAAAAGTGGGTTATAGTAAGCGTGTATGCACCTGGAGAAGAAAGAAGTGTAGAGGAGAGAGAGAGATTTTGGGAAATGTTGAGTGAATGCGTGGGGAGTTTTGAATCAAGTGTGAGAGTAATGATGGTTGGGGATTTCAATGCTAAAGTGGGTAAAAATGTTATGGAGGGAGTAGTAGGTAAATTTGGGGTGCCAGGGGTAAATGTAAATGGGGAGCCTTTAATTGAGCTATGTGTAGAAAGAGATTTGGTAATAAGTAATACATATTTTATGAAAAAGAGGATAAATAAATATACAAGGTATGATGTAGCACGTAATGAAAGTAGTTTGTTAGATTATGTATTGGTGGAAAAAAGGTTGATGGGTAGGCTCCAGGATGTACATGTTTATAGAGGGGCAACTGATATATCGGATCATTATTTAGTTGTAGCTACAGTTAGAGTAAGAGGTAGATAGGAAAAGAGGAAGGTGGCAACAACAAGTAAGAGGGAGGTGAAAGTGTATAAACTAAGGGAGGAGGAAGTTCGGGGGAGATATAAGCGACTGTTGGCAGAAAGGTGGGCTAGTGCAAAGATGAGTAGTGGGGGGGTTGAAGAGGGTTGGAATAGTTTTAAAAATGCAGTATTAGAATGTGGGGCAGAAGTTTGTGGTTATAGGAGGGTGGGGGCAGGTGGAAAGAGGAGTGATTGGTGGAATGATGAAGTAAAGGGTGTGATAAAAGAGAAAAAGTTAGCTTATGAGAGGTTTTTACAAAGCAGAAGTGTTATAAGAAAAGCAGAGTATATGGACAGTAAAAGAAAGGTGAAGAGAGTGGTGAGAGAGTGCAAAAGGAGAGCAGATGATAGAGTGGGAGAGGCACTGTCAAGAAATTTTAATGAAAATAAGAAAAAATTTTGGAGTGAGTTAAACAAGTTAAGAAAGCCTAGGGAAAGTATGGATTTGTCAGTTAAAAATAGAGTAGGGGAGTTAGTAGATGGAGAGAGGGAGGTATTAGGTAGATGGCGAGAATATTTTGAGGAACTTTTAAATGTTGAGGAAGAAAGGGAGGTGGTAATTTCATGCACTGGTCAGGGAGGTATACCATCTTTTAGGAGTGAAGAAGAGCAGAATGTAAGTGCGGAGGAGGTACGTGAGGCATTACGTAGAATGAAAGGGGGTAAAGCAGCTGGAACTGATGGGATCATGACAGAAATGTTAAAAGCAGGGGGGGATATAGTGTTGGAGTGGTTGGTACTTTTGTTTAATAAATGTATGAAAGAGGGGAAGGTACCTAGGGATTGGCAGAGAGCATGTATAGTCCCTTTATATAAAGGGAAAGGGGACAAAAGAGATTGTAAAAATTATAGAGGAATAAGTTTTTTGAGTATACCAGGAAAAGTGTATGGTAGGGTTATAATTGAAAGAATTAGAGGTAAGACAGAATGTAGGATTGCGGATGAGCAAGGAGGTTTCAGAGTGGGTAGGGGATGTGTAGATCAAGTGTTTACATTGAAGCATATATGTGAACAGTATTTAGATAAACGTAGGTAAGTTTTTATTGCATTTATGGATTTAGAAAAGGCATATGATAGAGTGGATAGGGGAGCAATGTGGCAAATGTTGCAAGTATATGGAATAGGTGGTAAGTTACTAAATGCTGTAAAGAGTTTTTATGAGGATAGTGAGGCTCAGGTTAGGGTGTGTAGAAGAGAGGGAGACTACTTCCCGGTAAAAGTAGGTCTTAGACAGGGATGTGTAATGTCACCATGGTTGTTTAATATATTTATAGATGGGGTTGTAAAAGAAGTAAATGCTAGGGTGTTCGGGAGAGGGGTGGGATTAAATTATGGGGAATCAAATTCAAAATGGGAATTAACACAGTTACTTTTTGCTGATGATACTGTGCTTATGGGAGATTCTAAAGAAAAACTGCAAAGGTTAGTGGATGAGTTTGGGAATGTGTGTAAAGGTAGAAAGTTGAAAGTGAACATAGAAAAGAGTAAGGTGGTGAGGGTATCAAATGATTTAGATAAAGAAAAACTGGATATCAAATTGGGGAGGAGAAGTATGGAAGAAGTAAAAGTTTTCAGATACTTGGGAGTTGACGTGTCGGCGGATGGATTTATGAAGGATGAGGTTAATCATAGAATTGATGAGGGAAAAAAGGTGAGTGGTGCATTGAGGTATATATGGAGTCAAAAAACATTATCTATGGTGGCAAAGAAGGGAATGTATGAAAGTATAGTAGTACCAACACTCTTATATGGGTGTGAAGCTTGGGTGGTAAATGCAGCAGTGAGGAGACAGTTGGAGGCAGTGGAGATGTCCTGTCTAAGGGCAATGTGTGGTGTAAATATTATGCAGAAAATTCGGTGTGTGGAAATTAGGAAAAGGTGTGGAGTTAATAAAAGTATTAGTCAGAGGGCAGAAGAGGGGTTGTTGAGGTGGTTTGGTCATTTAGAGAGAATGGATCAAAGTAGAATGACATGGAAAGCATATAAATCTATAGGGGAAGGAAGGCGAGGTAGGGGTCGTCCTCGAAAGGGTTGGAGAGAGGGGGTAAAGGAGGTTTTGTGGGCGAGGGGCTTGGACTTCCAGCAAGCGTGCGTGAGCGTGTTAGATAGGAGTGAATGGAGACGAATGGTACTTGGGACCTGACGATCTGTTGGAGTGTGAGCAGGGTAATATTTAGTGAAGGGATTCAGGGAAACCGGTTCTTTTCATATAGTCGGACTTGAGTCCTGGAAATGGGAAGTACAATGCCTGCACTTTAAAGGAGGGGTTTGGGATATTGGCAGTTTGGAGGGATATGTTGTGTATCTTTATACGTATATGCTTCTAAACTGTTGTATTCTGAGCACCTCTGCAAAAACAGTGATTATGTGTGAGTGTGGTGAAAGTGTTGAATGATGATGAAAGTATTTTCTTTTTGGGGATTTTCTTTCTTTTTTGGGTCACCCTGCCTCG